TCATTCATCTTTATCTGTTTATTGATAAACTCCACTTCCTCACTGTGATTGAACCTGCATTCTGGTCTTCTAAATCTCCAAAGTTAATAACAGCCAACCCCTGGCTGAACAACAAGGTAAAGGGAAATGTCAATCTATGGCAGTGATCACAAGTCCCTACTCCCCACCAATAAAAAGGCTTTTGAGACGAGCCTGTCCTAAACCCAGAATCAACCCTTCTGCCAGCAAATACCAAACTGCTGCTTCATAGTGCCATAGCTGGGTTTTCAACTTAAGGTTCTGTCCTAGCCTTACAAATAAATACTGCCCCTGGTGGTGTGTGAATCCATCCATTATATCCTCTGCAAATACAGGGATCAGGCTCTTCATGTGGGACTTGGGCCAGGGACGGGGCTCCTCTCACAGTTTGAGGTCCTGAGTCAGCTGGCCTCGCAAAGCTCGCCTTTCTCTGGATAGTAAGCAGTTCCTGGTGTTAGTTGAGAGTGGGTGCTGAGAGGACAGAGAGGCATAAACTCTCCTACACTGCACCACTCCCAGAGGAGCAGAGACCCGGATGATGGCCCAGGAACAGGCACGAGCCATTGCTGCCTGGTTCTTTGGCACCAGGACTCCACAGTCCCCATGCAGCACATTTCACTTCTCTCTGGAAGCACTGATCACTGCTATAACTCCACTATTATTTGCTACAATCATTCACTTAATGTCTTTTTCCATACCAGGCTGGAACTTCCCACTGGAAAGGACAAGAGCCACACCAACTGGTTCACCATGAAATCCCCAGTTCCTGACAAGGTGCCCTGCTCACAGATGCTCAGTAAGTAAGTTGACTTCATGATGGAAATCATCAGCATCAGTAATAAGAACAACCTTTTTTTTTTTTTCCCCAAACACTTTGCTGTTCACAAAACACTTTTGCTTCTGTTATGTCACTTGATCCTTACAACAGACTAGGTGGCAGAGGTCTTGGTTTGTCAGGACTGGCTTATACCAGCTCATTATTTCATTAGAACCAATTGTTAACCATTCAGGATTTTCTTGTGAACCAGTTGTTAAACCATTCAGAAGTTGAAATTGGACATGGTGGAGGTATTTACACCCCAGAGACTGACAAATGAGGGCTTTTCTTTTACAGAGAGCATGTTAATTAATAAACGAGTGTCAGAAGTTGTGTTTAAAACTGTTTTCTTAATGAACAGATGAGGATCATCTTAAATATTTTGTGGCCAAATTTCAGGAAGATCAGTTTGAGACTGTCACAGTCTCGGAGTCTTGCTGTACTGAGATGCTGACTCCAGATGCACTTACTCAGTTTATGAATTAATTTAGTTTTAAAGTCAACAATGTGCCAGGAATGTCCTGCCATGGCAAATCTGATTAGGAAGACAAAGTAGCTCCTTGTCAGAGCTCTCCTCACCCGGCACAGTGGGGGCCTGCCCCGGAGGCCTGGCCCTGCTCATGCCCCAAACTGTGGTTAACTTCACACCTAATGCTCTACCACTCTTGAGACTGTGGGGCCAGCTCACTGTGTTTACCCTCTGCCCAGAGCCCCTGCCTGAGGCTGCCTCAAACAGCATCCACCAGAAATGGGAGTCAAATGTGAACCTCAGCCCACCTCTGGAGCCCCCTCTGGCAGGGGGCTCACTGGGATCACACCGTGAATGGTGAGCAGTCAGAGACTCCACTGGGGACCACACAAACACTGCCCCTATCTATATGGGTCTTATTATGGGTTGAATTTTGTCCTCCCCAAATTCTTATGTTGAAGTTCTGGCCCCCAGTACCTCAGAATATGACCTTATTTGATAAAAGGGTCCTTGCAGGTGTAATTAGTTAAGATGAGGTCAAATTAGAGCAGGGTGAACCCCTAATCCAATATGATCGGTGTCCTTATAGTCAGGGGAGATTTGGACACTGACATGCACGCAGGGAGAATGTCATGGGGACACAAGGCAGAGATGGGGTTGATACTTTTACAAGCCGAGGAACACCAAAATTTGCCAGCAAACCACCAGAAGATAGGAGAAAGGCAAGGAACAGAATTTTCCTCATGATCCCCAGAAGGAATTCAACTTTGCCAACACCTTGATCTCAGACTTCTGACCTCTAGAACTGTGGGACAATAAATTTCTGTTGCTTCAGCCATCCAGTTTGTAGGACTTTGTTATAGTAGGTATAGGAAACTAGTACAGGTCTCTTGCTTTGCAACTTTCCAAACTTGGCAGTGCTAAATTAGTGACTAAGAGCAACATTACAGAAAGGCAAGGGTTAAAGTCACATGCTGAAGCCAGGTGGGTATCAAATCTAAGAGGCATTGGGCTTGGGTCAAGTCAGAATGACCCTGAATGAGTCTTTGGGACTGTCCCAAGTGGAACTGTCTGGTTCTATGGGATCCATACAGCTGACCACAGACACTGGCTGGACTCTCCAGGATTAGGGACAGGACAGCAGCAAATGGTTTCATCATCAGAACACTGGCTTCAAGTCTGACATGTGATCACAGTCTATGGGTTGAAAGCCCGCCAGCTGACCTGGGAGGAAGGTGCCATGATGACAGAGGGGTGGAAGGGCTTGGAAAGAGATTGATGATCCTTCTCTGGGATTTTATATACCCCCCAAAACCTGTGGTATTTCCAGTATTGTATTTTCCTCTGTTAAAAGGAATACCGTTTTCAGCAAGCCCACCAGGAGGGAATTTGATCCAGGTAGTCAGGAAGGAATGGGATGGGTCAAATATTGATTCCTGGCCTCAGATGCTTGTTACAAATTCCTCATGGGCAATGTATGGGTTTAGACAGGGTGTGCCTTTAAAGGATCCTGGATGCTCCAAGCATAGTGCCCACCACTAGATTGGCATTCTGTGTTATCTAGCCCTCTGCCCCGTTCCCAAGTGCTAAAGGAGCCCCATTTCTTTCGGCTAATGTGTTGGCTTTCATTGAAATGGAAAACCAGGGTGTGGATGGTTAGAATCCCCAATACCCTGACCACTCAGAGCCCTGCTTGAGCATGCCCAGCCGGGCATTTATACTCATGCATTCATTCCTATCCTTCCACACACACATGCTTTACATGGGCACACACTCCACTAAAGGAAGATGGTAACCCAATGGTCAAACGAGGAGAAGCCTTTATGCTAGAGAGAAATGGAGAGCTTTTCTGCTCTGGCCCTTTAAATGCAACTGCAATTCTCCTGCAGATCAGCAAAGCAACTCTGAAGAAGTCCAGCATGGTGGGCTTCTGTGCCTCCGAGAGCTGTGGTCCCAAAATTGCCAGGAAAGTGTTGTTTTAGATACTCTCTCCCATTGTCCTCATATTTACCTATTGTCTGTCAGAGCACCTGTTTCCGATTCTCAGTTTGGAAAATATGACTCAGCAAAGTACCCTTTCGGAAGGCTTATGTCCTAGACCGTGTCCTTAGAGTCCCACATGTCCCATGGAGGGCAGAGTAATCACATCAGCTCTCTCTCACCTAGAAGTCAAAAGCTGTTGGGAGCCATGGGGCATGTCACAGCGGGGTGGTGACACTTCTTCTGTGAGTCCCCTTCCCTCTCCAGCTGCCTGTTACGCAGGATGCTGCAGACACCCAGCTCTCCTGACCGCTGTCGACAGCCCTGCTGCTACCCAATTGATGGTGTTCTTCCTTCTACATTATCTGTTTTCCTCCGTGGAAAAGTCTGCCAAGGCCTGTGATTTGTGTCACTTTTGTTTGCAGGCCATCAATCCTCCGTGCCTCACAGAGAGTATTTAATCTCTTTCCATCCAGTAGCCTGAGTTCTTGAGAGGGAACGAGTTAGGGATATGCTGACTTCTATGACATGTGAAATCAGGGTGACTTCTTACCACAGCGAGCCCTGAGTGCTTCTGTCTTCTCCTTCCTCCTACATAACCATCTTCCCTTTTGTGCCTACATATTGAGCTGGTTTTCTTTAAGGTTATAAAAGTTATGTGTGATAAGCATTGGTGCACGTTTTGCCAAGTAGATGTAGATATTCTATCTGTGTCTCTCTCTCTCTCTCTTTGTCTATCCGCCTCTGCCCATATGTGCATGTGTACTTTCCTCTGTATGTATGTGCATGTGTGTACATATTCACATACATACACATACAAACTTGGATCATTGCCCTTTTCTATAATTTATATCTATAATTATATATCTACCTACATTACAGCTTTCATCTCTTTGAAAGCAATCAGTAAAACTATGTATGCTGTCAATAAATGCAGGGAACAGAATATAATTTTCCAATGTTGGTGTGTGTGTATGGGGTGGGGGGCTTCTGTTAAAATATCAATTCTGTAACAAAAAGATGAATCTGATTTCTAACCATTCAACCTTGTAATAGGTTAAATGATAACAAACCATTCATTGATTTTGTTTTTTAAGAAGAGTAATAAACAGAAGCACGCACCAATTGAAAGAGCCAGGCAATTCAATTATAATTAGGAAAACAAAAGTGATGAGCCTGAACAAACCTGCCTCAGTTTTGGGGATAAATGTTGAAAAAGCCAACTACATAACAATGTTTGTTTTCTCATCACTAAAGGCACCAATACTAATAGCCTCATTTTTGAAAACCCTGTACCAATTGAATATAGTACAAAACCCAGAAGATATATTTAATAGATATGCTTAAAGAAAAACACCTACATAAACATAGACCCAAATCCAATGAAAATATATAGCAGAAAAATAATTGAGTAAATTTATATTCATCACTCCACTGACTAATGTACAAATCTATCCATTCATATGTCCCTCCTGCCATCCATCTATCCACCTATCCGCTCAGTAAATGTGTTTTGAGCTCTTATGATGTTTTAGGCACTGTGTTACTAATAGGTGCCCTAGAATGTATGACCTAGATGCAAATGACCCCAATGAAAATAACAATTATTTCTTGTTTTTTAGTCATTGTTGCCTAAGCTTTCCCTGTATGGCTAGAGAGAAGAATACTTAAACGGCTGAAAAACAGCTAAAGACAGACAAGGACATGCCAACATACCTTTTGTAGCCAGACGAACACAGTTGATTTTGGTCTCCTGTAAACAATGAAAATGAGACACTAATTAGTGGCAGGTTATATAAATTTGTTATGTAAAAAATATACATATCTATTTGCATATATATGCATGCATATGTATTTTTAATTATAATTTTAAATTTGTCCTTTCCATTTTTCCCTCATTGAAATCACCTTTTAATTCCAGTTCTATATTTCTTCTCAGGCTATGTACATATGTTGTTTCATTCATTTCCTGGCTCCTCCCACCTCGTAAACCTCTTCTACACACAGAACGACTTCATGAATGTCAGATACTGCCCAGCACCCAACAACTGTAACAATAACACTTAGTGGGCACATTGTGGTATACAGTATGCTTCATTCAGTTGCTTGAGTCAGCAGATGGAGCAAGGGCATCCTTGGCAAACTTTGTTACCAGCAATAATGCATCTACCTGCACAGACTGAAGGGGGACTTAGCAATAGTCCAATCTATATGAAATGTGTAAGAATCAAACTACGAGTTTTATGTTCAAAAAGTCACTTTGGCCCTGAGATCTCTGGCAGGGACTCCTCACAGTCTTCATGAATAATGTGTGTATGTGTGTAGCAACAGAATCTTTACTGGGTGAACCATCTAGTTATTGTTGGCTGTTCTGCAAGTGAACTGGATGCATAAATTTGTGATGTTGCCGGCATGTAGTGGGGTTACCGAAGAGTGTGAATCATCTCAGTCTATTTGGCTGGATCCATTTCCCAGGAGACTCTGGAGCCCCAGTCAAAAATTCCAGTTGACTAAATTTTACCAACATCCATCTGAATGCAGTCTAGCAGTAAAAAGAAAAAGCAAAGCCTGCAAGTGTGTGAGTCACCAAACCAAAAATCTCTCAAGAATCCAACACTTATCTTGCTGCTCTCTCACAAGTTTGGCTGGATCCATTTCCCAGGAGACTCTGGAGCCAGTCAAAAATTCCAGTTGACTAAATTTTACCAACATCCATCTGAATGCAGTCTAGCAGTAAAAAGAAAAAGCAAAGCCTGCAAGTGAGTGAGTCACCAAACCAAAAATCTCTCAAGAATCCAACACTTATCTTGCTGCTCTCTCACAAGGAGCCTCTGCATCTTGAAGGCACTTGTGTAAATCAGAATAGAAAAGGTTAAGATGCAGTAATAAGACCCAGGAATGTCAGTGGCTAAAAACAGCAAAGGTTTATTTTCTACTCAAACTACATGCCCAGTGTAGGTGTGGCTGGGTCTGATGGGTAGTGGTGGGGGTGGTTGAGAAATACTCTCATCGCTGTAATCACTCAGACACCAAGACTGGTATATTCATTTTAACACAGGGGGAAAGAATGCTGAAGAGTCAAGCACTGGCAATCAAATCCTTCGAATCAGAAGTAGCACTTCCACTACTATTCATATTTCATTAGCTAGAACCATTAATGCCATGCCTAATTTCAGTGAGGTGGGGAAATAGAATCCTCCATGTACCCAGAAGTAGAGAAGAAATGGTAATGTCCACAGCAGAGTCTATTCCATCTATGCATACCTCTGAATGCTAGACAGTGTCACTTTTATTAAAACCAAGTATGACTCCCCATAATTATCCCATAACTATACCTAATGGTTTTGATTCTGTTCCTCAGACTGCACAGAAAGTCTGCCCTTGCTTGTGGAGCAAAGATGTCTGGACATTGAAAGATAGCTCTCAGGGTCATTAACATCCTTCTCCTTCGGCAATTCTTTGTATGATAATAGTTCAAGTTTTCCAAGGGATCCATCCTAGCTACTCGTCCTGGGACATCCTCCACTTTGTCCCTCTTAATGTGCAGTGGCTAGAACAAGAAGCAACAGTCTGCATGGGGTCTTGTCCGTACATAATTGCCTAGATGAGCTCTATTTTCCTTACTTATATTGGGCTTCTGTTAACATAGCCAACATCCTAGTTTCTCATCAACCTCCTTCAATGAAATATAAAAAATTTTGCCGTATCCAAGTTCTACAACGTAAATGTGTTTGTATTTTTGGAACCCAAGTACAGAGTCATATTTACCACTATTGACTTCTATCTTCTTTAACTGATCTGATTACTACAGCCTATCATCATATTCTCTACCAGCTGCAAATTCTTGAAAATATTTTTTCTCTAACTTCATGCAGATCATTAATGTAAGTAGAGACCTGGGAAATGCCAATGGTAGAGCCCTGTGCCATGTGCTAGAAGTCGCCTCCCAGGTTGACATTAATCTGTTCATCAGAAGATGAACAAAGATTCATCAGAATCTTTGAACTAACTAGTTACTAATATTTTCAATTGCCTATTCATTCAGATCTCCTCAATTGCTCAATTGCTTATGCATCATATATATATTTTTTCATAAAAATAGCTTGAGGACAGTGCAAAATTCATTTTAGATACTGAAATTCTGTTACTACATTTCCCTAATCTACCAGCCTAAGAGATGTCTTAAGGAAAGAAGATTGTGTCAACATCACTTATTCTTTAGAACAAGTGTTTCCTTTTCTTTTTTTATGCTGAAAGTGTTCCTTTTTAAAGCAAATAATTGTCTTATTTTATAAAATAGAAAATGCAGAAATGTTTAAAAAAATGACAAATCATGGTTTAAATGTATGAAGTACGGGGCTGGCTGGTTAGCTCAGTTGGTGAGAGCATGGCCTAATAACACCAAGGTCAAGGGTTTGAATCTCTGTACCAGCCAGCTGCCCCCCCATACATATGAAGTACTTATATGAGATATTAATATGAAATTTTAAGCATATTATATTTCAAGAAAATGTTTTTAAAGAACATACCCGGAAGATGAAAAGAAGGAAAAATGATTGAGAAAAAATGTGAAGATAAAGTAGAAACAACTCTCTTAATGTGATGTCCACAAAACGTGTCGCAAACAAGTTAAAACTTGCAAATGATGATAAAAGTGAGCCAACTAGTTTTTGTTTTCCTGTCTGGAGAAAGCAAAGTTCTTTAACTCATGTTGGCTTCTATTTATGTGCTTTGGTTTAAAGAACCTTATTTGGTTAAAAATGTATGAACTCCAGAAACTAAAGAACACCTGCAAATAGTGGCGCAGTGTCACCATAACCATCATTGAGAAATTACAGAGAGTGGGAGAGGTGCCAAGATACTAGAGATGGTCACAAGGATCTCCAACTTCATATTAATACAGATAAAAAGGATTTTGCAAATGATATATTAGGAAACTTGACAATACTGTGCATGATTATTGAATATAGTAGTGGACAAAGGTTTGATGCGTCTACTGCTGGGGTAATTTGTAAATATATATCTAGACTTTAGAAAAATTCAATCTAATCTCTCTATATCTAAGAATCTATTCTCAGGAAGTAATCTTGAAGGTAGAAGAAGCTTTGTATTCAAAGATGTTGGTTCCAGTGTTCTTTATAAATGTGAAAATCAGGAGCAATGTACCTGTCTAACCACACAAGCATGTTAAAGAAAGTTGGTGTCGGAAAGGAAAAAAATTGCATTTTTTGTTCTATCTCTACTATACCCTACTTTTAGGTCTACAATATATGCCGGGACAGTACAATATAATTATTTTTTTCCATCAAACCTCACTCACATTCTACTTTCCACTCCAGACTTAAAATCTGCACACATGTATATACCTCAGGGTAAGACATAATGTCTTTACTGTTGTGCTTCTGTTGAGACCTGCTTCTACTCAAGGCTCTACAGTGCTGTGCGAAACTGTCCCTCTGTGTGGCTCAATTTCCACTTTGGCCACTTTGGTGGAGTAGGCAGGTCATTCTAAGGTTGCTTCAAGTTCTCAAATGCTGAGTCTGGTTTCAGCTACTGACAATATTTCTGCTTTCAGTACTCTGTCTTCTTGATTTTTAAATTAACTTATTCCACCTGATCCCATGCAAACAAGTTTTATCTTTTTTCTTTCTTTTTTTTCCCCTGTAAGCTATCACCTACTTTATTTCTCAGAATGCCTAACACCTGCACCTACTTATAACCTGCGTTTTTAGACTAGGTCCAGTCTGACTCATCAAATAATCCACCCATCCATCCATCCATCGATCCATCTTTCAACTATTTACTGAAATTATAGGATGCCCTGCTAGTTGAGATGTCCAAGGCATCAAATGTTTCAGCAGTGTCTATTTATCATCCAGAAGGATTCAAGTTATGTTGTGCTCCCACCCTGATCAGCCCTAAGTACCTGAGTAATACATGCAATTCTTACTCTACTGCCCCATTATACTCCTCATTTAATAGGATGGAGATTTAACCCTGGTCACATAGTTATCAAATAGTTTTCCAAGTTACCCTAACTTATGCCTTTGTCTTCTCTAATACTGAACTTCCCCAGTTAATATGATGGGATTTAGCCCTGACCCCAGAGTTTTTCCATAGTTTACACAGTTACTTTGGCTCTTGCCTTAATTTTCCTCTATGACTGGGCTGGAACCCTGAGAACCTACTTAATTCCTTGTTCATTTGGTCAGCAAACCAACATATATTTATTGAATGATCACCATGTGCCAGGCATTTTGCTGGGTTCTAGGGTTACAAGGATGAACAAAATAGATCATGCAAACCTTTGGGGGAGACGAACATTAAATGCCTATTCTTTCAAATAAATATCTAATTACAAGTTTAATAAATTACAAGCTTAAGAAACACTGTGAAGAAGTGCTTCTTTACATTTGTGTAAAGAAGGTGATGTGGAGTGTGAGTGGGAAGGGAGATGGTTTACTGCTTTGAGAAAGACCATCCAACCTGACACATGGAAGGTAAGTAGGAATTAGACATATTAAGTGTTAAGGAAGGGGGTGCCAGACTCAGAAGCAAATAAATATCTAATTACAAGTTTAATAAATTACAAGCTTAAGAAACACTGTGAAGAAGTGCTTCTTTACATTTGTGTAAAGAAGATGACGTGGAGTGTGAGTGGGAAGGGAGATGGTTTACTGCTTTGAGAAAGACCATCCAACCTGACTCATGGAAGGTAAGTAGGAATTAGACATATTAAGTGTTAAGGAAGGG